TTATAAAATTCCTCAAATACTTTCAATTTTTCTTTCATAGCTCTACATAATTTACCTGTTTTATCTTTTATCATGTTTATCGTTCCTTCCATTTTCTTTTTCTGTGTTGATTTGGCTAGGATCTTTGAATTCCTATCACTAAACTCAAAATATTCCCTCCTTAAATAAATTAAATTTTCTTGTACTTCGTCTATTTCCATTTTATCCAATTCCTCTTTTTTTGCTCTTAACCTAGCATAAATTCGTGTATCTCTCTTTATTACATATGCTTTTTCAATCTCTTCTATTTCTCTTTCTAAATTCCTTTTCCTTTCTTCTTGCCTTCTCTTTAAATTAATTGTCTCTTTTATACATAACCCTCTGGTCACTGCTTTCATAGTGTCCCATAGAACTCCTTTTGTCACCCCCTTTTCGTTGAAGCCCCATATTTCTTGCCATTCTGCTTGCACTTTATCTACTATCTCTTTATGATTTAGTATTCTTGTGTTTAACCTCCACCTTTTCATTTCATCATAATCACATTTCAACGCAATCTCAATTGAAACCAAAGCGTGATCCGAAATCTTAATCATACCTATATCAGCATTTAGCACTTTACTTGTCATATTTTTGGAGACAAAATATAATCAATTCTTGTATACACCTTATGTACTGATGAATAATATGTATATCTACTTTCATTCCCTTTTACCAATCTCCACACATCCTTTAATTGCCATTTATTCATTACTCTGCTTAATTCCGTTGTTTCAATGTTTCTAGCTTTTGATGCTATCGTAGTTTTATCCTTCTTTAAATCCATACAGCAATTACAATCTCCTCCAAATATTACATTTTGTTGATGGTAATTCTCTATTTGCTCTAACACTTTTTCATAAAATTCTTGCTGTTTCACATTTGGTGCGTATACATTTACTAATACATATTTTTCCTCCCCTATTTCCCCATATATTATTATATATCTTCCCTCTTCATCCTTCAATACCTTGTTTATGACAAAATTACATTTCTTTGCTATTATTATTGCTACTCCTCTTGACTTTGATGTCCCAAAAGATGTTTCGTAGTTCCTTATCCAGCTCGACTTTAACTCATTTGAGCCCCGCTTATTTTGATGTGTTTCCTGTAGGAAGATGGCGTCCGCCGCGTCCTTCTTCAGTAGGCTGCATCCTTCTTCAGTAAAGATTCAATCCGCCTTCTCTTAATTACCGTCCCCAACCCTCTCGTGTTAAGTGTTGAAATTCTTAATTTATGGGACATCATTTCCATTTCCCTTTAAAAGCTTTTTTGTGGCTTGAAACAACGTGAACCCTTGTCCCTTTCCCTCCCCTACCCTTACTCCCCATTCCCCCCTCCCCCCCAATCCCCCCACTTCCCTCATTCCCCCCTTCCTCCCCTTCCAATCTTCGGGACTACTCGTCCCAATCATGGCCCCCGGCCTTCCCAATTGGGGAGGGGGGGGGGCGAAGTCATCCCGTGGCCCAGAGTCTCCCTCCCCCCGAGTGCTCATTTTAATTCAACAAAAAAACTTGATTGCAGTGTATAATTTCTTCTTACATCTCGATTCCTCCAACGGCACCAATTAATTCCTCCAATTCTCCTCCATCCGGATCCTTCACCTCCTCTTCCTTTCGATCTCTCTCTTGTCTTCTTACTATGCCAAGCTCCTCCAGTAGTTGATAGCCTTGTTCCGGTGTATCAATTCTATATCTCTTGCCTTTCCATTGAAATTTAAGAAAGATAGGGTATCCCCAGGTGTACACAATTCCAGCTTTCATTAACTGCGTCGTAATAGGCTTCATTGAATATCTCCAATTCTTAGTTTCAGAACAATAGTCATTAAATATTTCCAATTTTGAGTCACCCATCTTTAGGAAATCTGGATTTTTCTTTAATATTTTCATCAAATCTTTCTTTCTTTGCGAAATTGTGAAATCGAATTATTATGTTCCTAGGAATTATTCTATTTCTTCCAGCTGGAAGGCGATGAACTCTCTCAATATCCAGTTCTGACCAGCTTAGTGTTGGCGAGATCTTTTGCAACCATTTCAAGATCTCAGATTTCAGATCTTCTTTCTTGTTTCCTTCTGGATAGTTTTTTATTATTACGTTATTTCTTCTTTGGTTGTCTTGCATGTACACAAACTTTCTTTCCATGTCAGAGAGCCTATTTTCGTTTTTTTGCATTTGTTGTTTGAGTACCAGTTGTTCCTGTGTACTTCTTTCAATTTCTGCTTTATTTTTTCGTATTTCTCCCTGTGCAATCTCCAGGGCTTCTCTTATTGTCTGAAATTTTTCATCCGAGCTTTTTCGTTCCGCGTCCAACTCTGCTCTCATTTGTTTATTGCTGGTCAGAATTTCTTGCTTCAATGCCTGAATTTCGCCCTTCCTTATTTCTCTTTCTTTATCAAACATCAGGTTCAAATTCAAGTTCATTTCCTTTGTTTGTTTTTCAGCCGTTTCTTTAATCAATTCTGCTATTTTACTTAGCATTTGACTGTTGCCCATCCCCAATTCTTCCCCCTCACTGCTCATTCTGCTTTCTTTTGGCTCTGCTGTTAAACATGGCAGCGAGGTAGAAATAGTTCCTCCCCCTTTTGCCCCCCCTTCCATTTGAGGGGGGGTTTGGGGGGGTGTTCGTTTTAACTGCTTTCCCTTAATTGTGGGGAGGGGAGGACTTCTCCTAACAGTGCTCATTTCCTCAGGGACCCTTTCCAGTCTTTCTAATCTTGAAAGCGATCTGTCCGAAGGTTTGGAACGCAACCAAAGAGGATTTGGTTTTGAGGTATCCTTACTTTGTTTATTCTTTCTCATTCAACCTCAATTTCACTCCTCCTGCTTTCATCAATTTTTTAATTGCTTTGTTTTCCCGTTCTACACAGCACACAGTACAAAAAAGTCCCACTCAATTATGCCTTGCAATGCCAGGAGGGTTCGCCTTTAATGTAACGAGACTGGCTCGATCCTTCTTCAAAGGAGGAATCTGCCTCTAATATTTATTTTGCCTTCCGGATCATTAAGTCATTAAGTCCAATATTTTAGTATTTTAATATTGTATTTAAATTGCAGCTGTTTATCTTCTCCAAGTCTTCTCCAAGTCAGTGCGCAGTTATAATTGGCAAGTTAGTTTCACTTTCAACAGCAGCTTCCAAGCCATTTTTCGGCAGCCGCCCTATCTTCTGCCAAAGCTCATAAATCAAAGCAAGTAATTGGTAATAAATTACCTTCTTAGGCTCTCCACGTGCACCAGACTTTCGCCTCCCTTTTGATCCAGAAAGGACAATTATCCATTCATTTTCACTGCTTTTTTGCTATATTTCCACAAGAGCTGGAGGAAAGACGTCTGTTCAACCGGCCATGGTAACTCCGCCCCCCCACCAGTACTGATTTCTGAGTCTGGGTGAAGATCCTACACAAGGGGAGACTGGGGTCCTCCCAGATTTGGTGGAGGCACACTCCTGACTTTTCGAAGGAAGGCGAAAACCTGGCTTTTTGAGCAGGCTTTTCCAAGTACAGCATAGCTATATTAACTCATGGAATGACTGATGATGAAACTGAATAATGACTTGACATGGAGATGCTCACAATAATGGATTTTTAAGGCTTGTATGGTTTTTAAAAATATTTTTTAATATTTTAATACTCTTATATTGTATGTTAAATGTTTTAATGCTATTTTATGGTTGTTTTTAACTATTATAATTGTTGTGGCATTGAATGATCCGCCCTGAGTCACCCTCGGGCTGAGAAAGGCGGTATATAAATATCATAAATAAATAAATTAACATATAAGGTGAGAAGACTTTCAAAATAATACAGTAAGGGAAGAAAGACAAGGGAGCATTTTACTTATCGTTGTTTTATGCCTTCAAGTCATGTCCAGCTTATGGCAACTCTATCCTAGGGTTATATGTATATTACACCTGGATTTAATATGTACTGTGTGCCTTATTGGCTGGAAAATGGACCAGCCAAATTTTAGGACACATTGTGGCATAACAGCCCGGTATAGTTCATTTAATGAATATATTTATCATTCTGTTTACTTATTCATGTATTGCTTTTAAAAAAGAGGTGTACTATTGCTGGCACTGCAAATGACTCAATTTTCTGTAAAATGCGAGCAAATAGATAAATCTTAATATATCACTGCAGAGTATGGAGATAAGACTCAGATTAATTACAGAAGTTTAAACAACAATAACAGCAACAACCAGTGACTACAGTTTCTGTAAACTAGATAGGTGATATTTCAGCATTGTTATCTTCAATGCACGGGGAAACAAATATATCTTACCTTGTTGTTGCCTGGCCAACAAGCTCATGTTGCTTTCATCTGCCACTGGAAGAAAGCACAGGTGAGGGCAGAGGGAAGGGAAAAAGAGAAAAAGAGACAAATATTAGGTTTTGCCCTGACTTCAGCAGTAATTAAACAAACAATAGGTACTTTGTTTCATCATGTGAAAAACATCTTTCTTTCCAACATTTTTCTAACATTTATCTCACTCTTTGACAGACCATGAAAAAATACACACAGAGATTCAATCCAACACTTCCCAGAAGCCAGAGAAACCTGTTTTGATAAAATAGGCAGGTTATAAATAATGATTGTGATTATGATCTCAAAAAGGAGCAGTGATGTATAGTTCTCTTACCCTTGTTTTCTAGCATATAAAATCATAATAATTAATGTTATGTTCTTTCAAAGGACAATATAGTGTAGTACAACTGGCTGTCACTACAATTAATAAAAAACTATGCTGACATTTTAATATATTTTCTTTTTTATGTCATTTATATGATTTCTTCTTTAGACTACCCAGAGTTTAGGAGAATGAAGAGTTTATCTTCTGTGTGCTGTACAAGGGAGAAAAATGCAATGAGCTAACAAGAAACAATACAAATACAAATGATGTTTACTCACTTCTGACAGGTGATAGTACAAACTTTCAATAATGAAGGTATGTATTGTCCAGAGTGGTAACTAATGGTGTTAACTTGTCTGAACAAGTGTTATCAAGCCACATTAATTCTACAGTGTAGATCAGGCATGGGCAAACTTCGGACTTCCAGGTATTTTGGACATCAACTCTCAGAAATCCCAGCCAGCTTACCGGCTGTTAGGAATTGTGGGATCTGAAGTCCAAAATACCTGGAAGTCCAAAGTTTGCTCGTGCCTACTGTAGTTACAGTGGAAATCCAGCCAGTCAGATGCTACTGGAGTTGGAAGAAGTTCCTGTTAGGCCCAAATCCTAACCTATAGAGTGTTCCACACTTTGGCCCCATTGTGGACCCACAGTAACCACAGATGTTTGTCACAATTGACACTGTACTGACTGCAATTCAGATGAAATGCAAGAAAGGGGCCGGTGGAAATCTGTTGTAACAGATTTAGTCAAGTCTCCAAAATTATCCAGACACCCCAGAACAAAAAGCTTTTAACATGATAAATTTGGCAGGCCAAGATTAATTCATTACATTCAAGATGGCCACAGTATTGCACTTCAGCACAGACATATCTGTACATCTCTATCACAGCTTGTTTTCTATCTCCCCCGCTCCTTTTTTGAGGGGGAGGGAAAAAGAAAAGCTAAGATTAGATAAAACATAATAGATTTAGACAATGAAAAATACCCACTACTCAATAAAATTCACAAGTAGTCTCTAGAAAGCTTAACCAAAAACATCAACTAAAAAGCAAATTAATCAGCCAAGGTCTCGTTTCCAAATGCAAAACATTCTTGCATGCTTTTAAGGATCTAAATAAATTACCTTCCCTGATCTAAACATTTTTACAGTCACAGGGAAGGGAGGGGGGATCAGTCACCGGCTTTCCAGATGGATATTATCCTTACACAGCCCTTTCAGTGTAATAAAGATATAGCACCATCAATTAATTTCAAGTCAATGATTGTGCCAATAACATGACTCCAGCAGCTCTTATATCCTCACTGCAGTGTTTCCTCATCTAGGGACAGTCGCATATTACTCAGAGAACATGTCAAATCCTGGCTCAGATCCATCCTTTTATGCACATTTTAGATGCTGTTTTAGAGTGGAAGCTCTTTCCATTGAAAATTGACATTTTTTAACTCTAAAGCAATGAACTAAATTTTACAGTTCTACAGTGCTATCAGATCAGTATCCATCTATGTCTGACAAAAGAAAAGAAAACTGAAAAAATCATGAAATCTCAAATTTTGAAGTTAAAATAAAAACATTAACTTTTAAATTCACATTATATTGAATAGTGCTCAAAATTAAAGACTGAAGATGTTAAATGGCAAGAATCAAATAGATAATACAGCTCTACTCATGTGCCACTTTCTAAGGCAGTTGGGGGATACAAGAATAATTTTACTTTGCATCATGCAATAAGCTAGGGTAAACTGAGCTGTAAACCTAGATAATGTAAATTGTTCCTTTTTACTTTAGGCTGGGCTCCCACTTGAAGTAACAGTGGCTAAATAAATCACAGAGCTTCCTTTAATGTCTGTTTCAGTGGTAACTAGTGGGGAACCCAGGTCTGATCACAATCCAGGCTTCAAATGAGCTCTCCAAGGTGCTGAATCTTGCTTCTTAACAAGATCAGAACCTTATAGAGCAGTGGTTCTCAACCTGTGAGTCCTCACATGTTTTGACTTTCAACTCCCAGAAATCCTAACAGCTGGTAAACTGGCTGGGATTTCTGGGAGTTGTAGGCCAAATAACCTGGGGATCCATAGGTTGAGAACCACTGTCTAGAACAGTGGTTCTCAATCTGTGGGTCCCCAGGTGTTTTGGCCTACAACTCCCAGAAATCCCTGCCAGTTTACGAATTGTTAGGATTTCTGGTAGTTGAAGGCCAAAACATCTGGGGATCCACAGGTTGAGAAGCACTGTATAGAGTTTTTTTTAAAGCTAACCAAAGGCTGGAAGACTATCTCCTCTCAACCAAAGGAGGAGCCACCAGTTGCCATTGGATTTATCGTATCCTCTGCCAACAGACCACTTCTCTTATATGATTTATTCACTCTCAACAAGCCAGTGAAAAAGAGTCAAAAAAAGCTCTAGGGTTTGTTTAGTCTCACCCACTGCAAACAGAAGCAACTATACAGCATGCACCAACACATTCCTCATCCTCTACATATGTCTGGTGTCTCGCATCATGTCTTGCAAATTTGCAAATTGTATTTAACAACATGCACTAGCCAAGATAACAGATAATCGCAACATGAACTAGCCAAGATAACAGATAATCGCAGCTATGTTCTTTCTCCACCATATTATTTTGATGTTGTTTATAATTGTGATTGTTTTTATATGTTAATTGTTGTTTTTAATTTTATTGTGTTTTATCTGTAATTGTTGGGCTTGCCCCTTGTAAGCCACCCCAAGTCCCTTTGGGGAGATGGTTGGCAAGGTATAAAATAAAGTTGTCATTATTATTATTATTATTATTATTATTATTATTATTATTATTATTATGGAATACTAAGGCTCCCTTGCATCAGTTGGAGGATGCACTTTTTCTCTTGAATTCCTTGGTTCAAGAGAAAACAGGAAGAAATAGCTGCATGTCTATAATCTAAGAAGTTTCTACGATAATCTGCCAACACTTAGCCAGAAGCTACATGGAAATAGATGAAAATATGCTTAGACACAAAAAATATTTTATTCACATCAAAAATAATGTGCAGACAAAGCTTCACTTTTGCAGTTCACAAGAATGTATTTTCTTCCTTTCTACTTTCCTCGCTTAGGCTGCATGATGTATTGTTATCACCTAGATAATGTAAATTGTGCCTTTTTACTTTATAGCACCTCCGCCTCTCATTCCTAAGTAATGCACTGTTAATTAAGGCCATCATAGCTTATTTTACACCTTTGTTGCTACACCTCCTTCCTCATACACTAAATGAAGCAGATTAATCCCCTTGCAATGGAATACTGTAAAACATTAATAATCTAAATCCTAATTGAACTTGTAGCATGCCATTATCACTTCCGCTCAGTTTCCATGACATAACCACTGTCCCTTTGTCACAAAACTTCTCACTGATCAAAGTCTAGAGGGAAAGAACAATTTGTCAAATACTTATTTTTATTTTATTTTATCATGCTTTTATACAAGAATGCTGAAGTTTCCAACTTCACTGAGCCAAACCAAATCTCTGCTAGTCTGATCACTGTTGCCTCTTTTAATATTTGCAGGCAAAAACAAATAATAGTAACTGTACCTTGAGAAAGGTTTCTTAGTTCTCTTTTTCACAGTAATCATTTTCTAACAGTAACTGAATCAAATACACACAGGTCAACTACTGTGAATAAACGGCAATAGAACATTACCATTAAATTTTGTTAGGGGACCTAGATATTCCTAGAGAAGTCTCTAGATCTAAAGTGTGCTCTCTCTCTCTCTCTCTCTCTCCCTCTCCCCCCCCCCCCCCCCCCCCCCGTGTGTGTGCAGACATATAGATAGATTTGGCTTTTAAAAATGAACCCGTTCCAATTTAAGAATAATTCAACTTAAGAACAAACCTACAGACCCTATCTTGTTCGTAGCTTGGGTACTCTCCGTATTTTAGTACAATTTTCCTCTTTAACAGTACACTGTGAAGGATTCCCCCTTTATTCTCTCTTTTTCTCTAGTTCATCGTGAATCTATGGTTAGAAACAATGTGAAAATAAAATTTCCTAAATCTTAATACAATATTTCAGAGTAATCATAGTAAGTGTAATAGAAATAAGGAAAAGTATTTCCTGTTTCCACTTAAAATCTTCAGAGTCTGACTGTAAATATCATGCCTATAATATCCCAGTAGAACGGATTTCCATACACAAAATACTTCTGTTTGAGAATATAGCATTCTATCCGATCTATCCTAGCATAAATCCTCACATGAAGAAATAAATCTCTGTGTTGTGTAAATAATATGTATACTAATAAAGTAGCATTTGGCAACAAATTATTGGCAGCAATTTGGGGTTTATGATATTTGAATGAGATATTGTATGCATCATGATTATAAGACCAACCTATTAAAGATACATTCATCTCATAACAATAGGGAGGTCCAGGTTATTTTAACAAAGAAAGCACGGAGGAATTCAATTTCTTGCAAATATAGAGGTAAGTATCCGTTGTTGCTCTATCAGCAACTACAGGATAAATGACATCTCTATATGGTCTTCTGTACAGATAGATACTTTTGAACTGTGGTGCGGGAGGAAAATTCTGAGAGTGCCTTGGACAAGTGCAAGAAGATCAAACCAGTCCATACTCCAGCAAATAAAGCCCAACTGTTCATTGGAGAAAAGGATATTAGAGGCAAAGGTGAAGTACTTTGGTCACATAATGAG